AAATCAAAACTACAATGAGGTATTACCTCACACCAGTTAGAATGGCCATCATTCAAAAATCCAAAAATGACAAATGCTGGAGAGGCTGTGAAGAAAGGGGAACCCTCCTTCACTGCTGGTGGGAATGCAGTTTGGTGCAGTCACTGTGGAAAACAGTATGGAGAGTCCTCAAAAGACTAGGAACAGACTTACCATATGATCCAGGAATCCTACTCCTGGGCTTATATCCAGAAGGAACCCTACTTCAGGATGACATGTGCACCCCAATGTTCATAGCAGCATTATTTACAATAGCCAAGACATGGAAACAGCCTCAATCTCCATCAACAGATGACTGGATAAAGAAGTGGTAATATTTATACAATGGAATACTACTCAGCCATAAAAACCAACAACATAACGCCATTTGCAGCAACATGGATGCTCCTGGAGAATGTCATTCTAAGTGAAGTAAGCCAGAAAGAGAAAGGAAAATACCATATGAGATTGCTCATATGTGGAATTTAAAAAAACAAACAAACAAAGCATAAATACAAAACAGAAATAGACTCATAGACATAGAATATAAACTTGTGGTTGCCAAGGTGGTAGGGGGTGGGAAGAGATAGACTAGGATTTCAAAAATGTAGAATAGATAAACAAGATTATACTGTATAGCACAGGGAAATATATACAAGATCTTCTGGTAGCTCACAGAGAAAAAAATGTGACAATGAATATATATATGTGTTCATGTATAATTGAAAAATTGTGCTCTACACTGGAATTTGACACATTGTAAAATGATTATACATCAATAAAAAATGTTAAAAAAAAAAGTACGGTAAAACAGAGACTTAAAGGATTCAGTCCAATCACTGCGCATCACAGAGACAGTACAGGTAACAGCTGCAGTTATCTCAGGGTGGTCACCTGGACACCTGACCAACAAGAGAAACGTAAACTCGACACTAATAATATGGTGTAAGGTCAAGGTCAGTCATGTTAAATCTTGCTGTCATTTACAGGCAGGAGGATAATTTGATGGAGAAATTAGTTAATTTCTCCTATAAGATTATGAGGGAAGAATGAAAGACAACACTTCCCTTCCCTTCCCTTCAGGAAGCTCTGTGTCCGTCAGCATCCTGTGTCTGTACCTGTCCCAGGCGCTGTGTCTATGTGGCTCCCCAGCAGAGGCAGGTGAAGCCTCTGGCAAAATGGCACACATGGGCACTGGGGACTCACACCTAAAAGCCTTGGCCTCAGGAGCCCCAGGAAGATCAGGGCAGCCAAGCTGAGCATGGAGGGGATAAACACAGTGACCGGCCACTCTCAAACGGGCGATGCAGGCTTGGCCAACACGCATCTCAGCACCACCGCGACAGAGGAGGGATGTGCGGTCCTCAGAATTTTCTAGCCAAATGGTGTGGATGGGGAAGGACTCCCCACTGACTATTGATCTATTGATACCGAACACCTCACAGTCTCTACAAGTGGAACTCTGAGTCAAATTTAATTGGATTCAGAGGATTTTTCTCTTTCTTGCACCTGAGGACTGAGGGGGCAATTTCATACACATTACACATACTATAGAACTCTTTTTTTCCAGAAGGTAAAATATAGATTAAAGTGATTGTGACTCATCTCAGACTATGGATGCAGAGGTCACAAATGTAGCAGCTAAGGCTGCAGATTCAGCTTGGGTTTGGATCACAGAGCTACCCGGCTACTGGCTGCGATGACCTTGAATGAGACACTTCACCTTTCTGCTCTGCCTACTCATGTGATCACAGTACTGATCTTCTAGGGATGTGTGAGGTTTAAATGAAAGTCTATGTAAATCAGAAATTTAAAACGGTACCTGGCACACGGTACTCACTAAAAATTGTTACTTGCCGTTAACTGCTAGTCCCATGTGCTTCCCAGCCTTCATTAGCCAGCTAACGTTGTATCATGTGTTAAATTTTGCCTCTTGCTAAAAAAAGAGAGTTTTCCTATTTTCCAAATCAAGAAATACAGCAGTACTGGGCATACCCAAACAACACGTGTTCCCCACATCCAAGATCCTGAAACACACAACCTGCTCATAGGGCCTTCCTCCCAGGATAATCGTGGGTCTGCTCCAATTCCTTCCATTTAAAGGCTGACCACATCAGGGCCCAGGACGTGGCCATGCCACTTTAATCTGGCTTCATCTCTGATCCAGCCCTCATTTCCCCATCTTAAAAAATGTCAAATTAGTGCAGAGCCAATTAACTGTTAAAGGCCAGGAAGTTCAAAGGTCATGCGATGAGGCTACACTAGTAAAATGCCACTTTGTAACAGGGATACAGGTAAAAAGACCCAAAAACCAAGACTGAATTTTTTATCCCCCTCAAAGAAAAAAACTCAACATTTTAACTTTTTAAATATAGGTAACGTTTCTGAACATTCAGAATTTCATGTAGAATTCATGACCTCAGGCTTACCTATGCTTCAAAAGTTTTCCACGTTTAATTTGGGGGGGGGCGAGAAATGACATAATATACAAAAAACCAAAACAAATTTTTATCTTTCATCCCAAGGCCCAGGATGGTTGAAAACTCTGCTAGTCAAATTCCAACAACAAAATTACAGAATCTTTCATCACTAATTATTTCAGAAAATATCTATTTAAGGGAAATAAAAACATTTTTCTTATGTCCTTTCTTCTCCATTTAAAATATTTACCTAAAGGAAATAACCAGACAGAAAGGCTGAGTTAATGAATAGAACAGGATGGCCAATAACTAGTGGTTAATGATTTGGGTGAGAAAAACACTGACTTGCCTGCTGCTATAAGCAAAAGTGTTGTAGACTCTGAACTCCATCACTCACGTCAAGGTAAACTCTATAAAGTCTCAAGTCAAGAACAACTTTTTCATATGCTGTTTTTCCCCCATTTCCTTTCTCAATCCTACAGTCCTCAGTTAGAAACCTCTTTTTCAGTTCTGTAAGGGAGTCACATATAAACTGGGGATAAATTCTAGCCGGACAGAACCAGGAAGGCTTTTTCGTGGAGAAAGGGGAGAGTGAACTCCAAGATCCACATCCAACCTTCAACATCAGTGCTTCTCAAACTTCAGCTGCACACAGATCACCTGTAGGTTTTGTTAATACGCAGATTCTGATCCAGGAAGTCTGGGGTGGGCTCTGGGATTCTGTATTTCGTACAAGCTCTCGGGCGGCATGATGCTGCTGGCCTGGGGACCGCATTTGGAGCAGCAGAGAGACCTACATCACCAGTTACACTTCCCTACGGCTGAATGCTCACAAGCCCAGAGACTCCCGAACAGTTCACCCCACCCCCACGCCATTCCCAGGCAGGGACACACTAAAGCTCATACCTGATAATTCACATACAGGGCAACCATCATCCTGCTCACTATTCAGCAGAGGTGATTCCCTGCTCACACTCCTACATGACCCAGCCAGGCTTCCAGGTTCCACATGCACCCTGTCAGCCTATTCCAGAAACTTCCCCCATTCATCCAGCCTGCCCTCTTCCCAGACTACAGCATACAGATTTAATATGTGGTATGATTCTGCCTATAGCAAGATATTAAAAAGAAAACTCTTTTTTAGAGTTTAAATATCACGTCTAAGGTCCCAAAGCCAATATATGACAGAGCCTGATTTTAAAGCCCCAGGTCCTGAGGACTGCAAAGTCTGTGTTTCATGTGGTAAAATATATATAACAGAAAATTTACCATCTTAACCACTTTTTAAGTGTACAGCTTAGTGACATTAAGTACATTCACACTGTTACACAACCATCACCACCACACATCTCCAGAACTCTTTTCATCTTGTAAAACTGCAACTCTTTACCCATTAGACAGTAACTTTCCACTCCCCCCTTACCCCAGGCCCTGACGACCACTTTTCCACTTTCTGTCTCTATGGATGTGACTGCTCTAGGAACCTCAGAGAAGTGGAATCATACAGCATTTGCCTTTTGTGACTGGCCTGTTCCACTTAGCAGAACATCCTCAAGGTTCATCCATATTGTAGCACGTGGCAGAATTTCCCTTTTTAAGGCTGAATAATATTTCACCATTGTATGGCTATACCAGCCGCACTGTGTTTATCCATTCACCTGTCAGTGAACATCTGGGTTGCTTCCACCTCTTGGCTGTTGTTAATAATGCTGTTATGAACATGGGAGTACTAAATGTTTACTTTTGAATGTTTTGAATTTTAAATGATTTCCTAATGTTGCCAAATAACCTCTTCTTTTTTTAACATATGTACTTATATGAAGAGGTTCAAATCTCTTTCAAAATCATCTGGTAGTTCAAGGACAGAGAGTTAAAAGAAAAAAACTCCTGGTCAATGAAGACCTTCTATTGCCAACCCAGAACTGAGTAAATTTTTCCTTATTCTAGCCATGAATTCTCATCAGCCCTAAATCTCACCAGATCACAGCACTCTCACCCCTGGCCTCTTGGCCAGAGTCCTGCACTGTTATCACAGGCAGAGGGCCAAAACTCTCCTTTTGTGCTTTTTCTTACATTCCTCAAACAATGTCAAATTAACATTGGCTAAAAACATAACCATCCCATGGCTAACGAGGCCAGGGCCCTAGACTGAAATGTTATTAAAGCACCCAATGCCAAGTAAAACCCCAAGGCACCTGCGAGGACACGCCAAGGGAAGCTG